CCGCCGCCCCCCCCCCCCCCCCCCCCCCCCCCCCCCTTTCCAATCTAGCACGTGGTCTCTATTTCCCCATTGTTGACACCACATGGAACAGTGGATTCTAGAGTTCTCCAGGTGGGGATGGGACCACAGAGTTAAGACAGATCAGATTGAGCTTCCTATCAAGACTGTTCAATCCCAGAATTAAGTTATCTACTGTTTCTGGAATAACAGAGTTCTACTGCTATAGCTCAGATGGTAGCAATCTTTGCAGTGGTGCTAAAAGTTCAGGAAAGAAACACTCCCTCTGAGTCATGAAGGAGTGTGACAGGGTCCCCTAATCCCTCCTCCTTGGCCAAGTCAGCAAAGTAACAGGGCTATCTGGCAAGCAGGAAAGGGCAAGAGTGGAGTCTGTAGGGAGGCAGGCCGCAGAGTAGTGAGCCTACAGACAGATGAATAGCACAGGGGTGGGCAATTTTTTTGGGCAGAGGGCTGCTTACCCAGTTTTGGCAAGCTGTTGAGGGCTGCATGGGTAGCCCCGCCCCTTGACAGGTGCCCCACCCCCTGATCACCATCTTGGGACCAATGTCCCAGGGCCAGCACCAGTGTGGCCCAGAGCAGGGTGCAGGCTGGCAGGGGTCTATGGAGCTGGGCTGGACTGCAGCAGCAGGGAGAGGGGGAGTTGGCCCAGCTCCATAGAGCCCCTACCAGCTAGGACCCTGTACTCCTGCCACCCCACTCTGGGCCCTGCTGGCCCTGGCCCCATGCTCCCGTGCCTGCTTACTCCCAGTGCCCCCCAGTCCCGCAGTACAGGCTGGGGGCACCGCACAGCCCCGAACACTTGCTCACTGGAAGGAGAGGAGCTGGCACTGAGTGCGGGAGAAAAGCGGCCCCTCCCCTGCACCATGGCCAGTGCTCCCTACTGCAGCAGCTTGCAACCCGCACAGGGCTGTCCTGAGCAGGCACAGGCAGTCCCATGTGGGCTGCAAGTGGCTGCAGTGCACAACACCGGCCACAGGGCGGGTGAGGGGTGACTTTTCCCCCCAGTGCTCAGCACCAGCTTGTAACCTGGCCCCGCGCCGGCTCCAAGCTCGCTTGTCAGGGCTGCGCTGCACTAGCAGCAGCTGCAGTCCCCCTGCTTGCTGCGCCAGGCAGCATTTGCTGCTGCTGCCCACCCAGAGCTCGCTCGCTGGGCAGCTTAGAGGTGGTGGTGGCAGCTGCACCACAGCCTACCATGGCGTGAGCTCTGGGTGGGCAGCAGCAGCAAATGCTGCCCAGCACGGCAAGTGGGAGGGCTGCAGCTGCTGCCACCGCAGTGCAGCCCCGACAGGCGAGCCCAGAACTGGGTTACTAGCTGGTGCTGAGCACTGGGGGAAAAAGCAGCCCCTTGCTTGCCCTGTGGCCGGCGCCTGGCGCTGCAGCTGCTCACAGCCCGCATGGGGCTGCTTGTACCTGCTTAGGACAGCCCCATGTGGGCTGCGAGCAGCTGCAGCAGGGAGCGTTGGCCACAGGGTGGGCAAGGGGCCACTTTTCCCCATGCTCTGCACCAGCTTGTTCCCTGCCCTCCCCCCTTACCTGAGGTTCCAGGCGTCAGGGCAGCCACGTGATCCCAGGCCAGAAGCCCCTGGTGGGGGCTTCCAGCTGGGATGGCAGGGCCACACGGCCCTGCTGTTGCAGGAGCCCGCCAGGCTTCCCCTAGGTCCTACTACCCCTGGTTCTGGTCATCTTTGACAGGAACCAAAGACAGATAAATTTTAATTTTCAAAAAATTTTAGGGGCCCTGTGGGCCCAATAGAATGGCCTTGCAGGCCGAATCCAGCCCACGGGCTGTATTTTGCCCACCCCTTGAATAGCAGCACCTGAGCCCTGTTACAAGAGAGAAGGGGAGGAGATGGAGGAGTTGTCAGTGGGTATACATGCCTGGCTCCAGGGGTAGAGATTTATTCCAGCTGCATCCTGGAAGGAGAAGAAACTTTGTAGGACAGCAGGAGTCTCACACAGAGATAAGGTGTTATGTTTCTGCCTTGCAGTCTGTGTTTTAGCTATGAGGCATGGGGGTGGCTGAAGAGGAATAGGGAGGGCCACAGTGGGTGCCTAAAAACAGCAACCCTCCCAGGAGCTGAGCATGAAATGTCAGTTAACAACAATAAGCACCATTCCCTAGAGATTGAAATCCCCTCCCCTATGCACCTCATGGGGTTACATATATAGGACCAGCTGTCCATCTTCCACCTTGCCACAATAGCCCAGCATCACACAAACTGATCCATGTTTTGTTGCATAGTGAAGTGTCCAAATTCAAGTGTGACACACGCCTGAATCGAGAAGCAGAGGAGTTGGAGAGCATCATCCTGTGGCCCCTCTGAGACTATTTCTGCTGCTTTTCAGAGTCACCATACTGCCTTGGCCCAGCATGAAACTGGCCAAGCTGATCACACTCCCCTGGCTGCTCAGTATGGGATAGAGAAGATGTACATAGTCCAAGTCCAGTGCACCAAAGAGGGTGCTGAAGATAGCAAAGAGTGGCTGCATCCAGGGGCAGTCCAGGGAGGTGTGGAAGAGAGTCCCTTCCACCTCCTCCCCAAAGAAAAAGGAGGCCACCAACACTGTGAGTGAACAAAAGTGCACATAGCCAGGGCCCTAAGCAGCAGCCACCACTGGAAGTTACCAGTTTCCTTGGCAATGGGTAGCTTACAGGCCAGGCAAATTTGCTCTGGTGTTGCTGCCACCATGCCCCACTTCCAAGTTGTGTCAGGGTGGGTGGTGGAGACATAGGCAAGACATGCTGACTGTTCATGTGCTCTCCCAGACAGGATCTCAATGCAGACCCAACCACTGTTCTTGTTGGGGCACAGGGAAGGACAGCAGAGCTGAGCCCTCCACTCTCATCACTGTCCACAGCTGGAAAAAAGTAGGTAGCAATAGAGGGGGTCCATCTAGCGAGCTACCGTAGAGGTGAGCTTGTCATGTACAAAGGTGGTCTTCTAAGTGGCAAGTGCGTCCCCACAGTAACAAGTTTTCACTTCAACCAAGGGGCATGAAGCGAAACAGAGTGCAGGCCATGGGCTCTGGCTGATAGCCAGGCAGACCAAGCTGAGTAAAAAATGTGGGTCAGCTTGATGGCATGCAACCAGATCAAGGAAGATGAGGTTTCCAGATGCTTGGCTCGGTGTCCTCTGCTGCAAGGCCAAAGTATACACCAGGGGCTCCTGCAGCAGCTCTGGAAATCACAGGCACCTGCACTAGGGTCTCAGTTGGTGGTAGGCCTACCAAGTCCAGGCAAGACTACACCGTAAGGGCAGCAGGGTGCTCCATCCAAGGTGATCAAGACCAACAGGAAAAGTTCCTGATCCACGTTGAGGTCCTCTACCTGATGCACAAAAGCTGGTTGTTGCCAGGGGAGGGGTTCACCAGCAAAGCACACACTGAAGGGCTAGCAGGAAGAAGGCAGCCGCCCTGCTCACCATATCAAATAAGCTCTGACCTCCCTCACTGGTGGGCAGGTACAGGATAGCCTGCTAAAGCCAGTTGTGCTTGTTCCAGAAGAATTCTATGAGGAGGTTCTCGAGCTTTTTGAGCATGGTCACTGGTGGTTCCAGGATATGCCACAGAGCAGCAGCCGCC